ATTTAGTGCACAAGGTGCAGCAGCCCATCCTGATGCCTGTCAGAAAGTGTTTTGTTTGAGTCACGGCACACTCGAGTGAATCCACGTCTGCTGTGATGCTCGGGATTATCACAGACTTAATTACAACCGTTCCTCCAACTGTTGCAGCTAAACAATTCTAACAAAAACTACAAACATGCAGACAAGCATCTACTGGCATTATGCTGTTTATGCCACTGCAGGACAACACGACAGACATCCTCCATCACGTGCGCGCAAACAGGCTGGGCATGCCTGCCGTCTATGAGCATCTGTCCTCGTTCCCTTTTGCAGCCTGCCCACTCTGACACGCCTGTGACACTGGCCTGCCTGTGGCGAAGCACTTTCCCCCCCTCGTCTGACTGCAGCAGCATCCTGGCTGCACACTCACCACAAGAGTAGAGAAAACCTCCCTACTGCACCTCCACAGCCCCCGGGGTGGCAGCTCTGCTATAGGTGCAAGAGAGGCAAAGAGAGCCAGAGATGGGGGGAGAGAGCAGAGGGAGGGGGAAGTCAGTTCCACTCCGCTCCGCCGCTGTGACCGCACCAGCCCGGCCAGGAAAAGAGTCAGCTTCTCTCACATCACCCAGGAGGTCTGCTGCTCCACGCTACATCTCCTCGGTCTTTACTTAACGTACCAGAGGAGCGGTACAGTGGAGACTTGATGTTACCACACTACAGGCTAGCTTGATGCCGTTTCCCTCCTCCGCTTCATTGATCTGCACACTGGGCCTTGGCGGCGGTTGTTTTCGAAAGGGGCCGATGCTTCATGTGGGTAATTTATTTGACCCGTGGTATCTTGCTCTTTCAGCCTTCCGTCCCCGTTTAGCGAGTAATTTCAGCAAAGTCTAAATAATTCACGGCAACTGCAATCAGCAGCGATCAATTGGGGGAGATAATTGAAGGGCCTGTCATTGCAGCCAAGGCCAAGGTGAGGTGTGAAGAGGGGCGGAGAGTTGGAGGTGAAGGCGAAAGTCAAAAGGGAGGAGGAGACGGTGGTGGGTGCAGGGGGGGGCGCGAATCATTCAACAGCTGAGTTCTGGCTAGTATAGCTTTCAGGGATTGCAGAGAAGGAGTCCATCTTTCTTCCTCACATTTCCTCATTCCAGCCTGCATCCAGGAGCGTTTAGCAGTTACTGCTTTGTCATCAAAATAAGTCTCATTGACTTTGGCTGCCTTCTGCTCGTGACAGAAGCACCGGCAGAAGCGCTGTCTCTGAATGAGACACAGCACCTCGCTATGACTGAGAGCAGAAATCTTTTAAGTGGGAAGACACCACAACTGCCCCCACGGTGATGTCATTTCCAAAAGCAACAGCAAACTTCTGTACTTCCACATCACTTTCTGACTGTGTAGGCATTCTAGGGGGAGAAAATTCAGAGAAAACGCACTGAAAATACACCCCGATCAGTAAACGGTACACATGCATCTTTATGTGTGCTTATCTGCGTGCACCATTTCTGCTTGGTTTAGAATAGCGGTGTTCCAGTAGTAATTTGAATGTCTATTTTAATTCAGCACTGTTGGCTTCCATCAGTCTGCATTTTTGCTTTAGTCACTCAAGCCCTGATATTTTAGCCTAGTGCTCACCATCATTTTCAAGAAATTTGCTTATGTAAAAGCCACTGACAGACGATCGGTACTAGGGAGGCACTAACAGATCAGCTGAATATCGGCCGATAAGATATCAGCACATAAGTCTGCATTTACTGATATCAGTTTGAGCATTTAATTTTGGGGGGTTTTCAGGCTGTAGTTACTCAGATTTTGAATTTAGTATGAAAAATAATCACATTATAAGACAGGAAGAAAAAGGGGAGAAGGAGAAATGTCATTACAGATTACAGGTTGGAGGGGTTTGGCGTGTGGGTAAGGTTGGTGCATTCCTCTAAAAAATGGTAAACATAACAAAATAGGAGTGAAACAGTATAAATATGGAGGATCAGGCAAACCTTTATTTGTGACACAGGCACTGGGCAAGAATTTGTATGGAAGAGGGGACAGAAGATTACCAGTACTTAATAGTAAATCAGAGAGAAGTGATCATTTCAGTTTGTTGATTGAACACAACACTGACTTCTGTCTTGTTAATTAGAGATAAATGTTTCATTCTGACTGTGAAATTTACAGCACAACTGTCACGGTGTAAATCTTTTTCCTGTTACAGCAGCACTTCTGACCATTGTTATTAGAAGAGTGTCTGCTGAACAAACAAACGATAAATGGAACAATAAAATGATTTGGTTTAATGCACGCCCCGCACTGGCATTATGGAGCCCAAACAATTAGAGAAATGAGTTTGTGGCCCAAAGGTGTCTGGTTTCGAATCCTCAGTGGGCTGACAAGAGCGCGGGCCTGTAAGTAGATGAGAAATGCACTTCTGCTCCTCACATCTACTGTCAAAGTGCCCTTGAACAATGTTCGGTGGCCAACAACACAAGTGCTGGGCATCTCCCAGGTCTATAATAAATCAAAAACTCTGCAGTAAATGCATGACACTTGTTCTGGTAGATTGCACATTAGTTTTTCTTTTTTTTTTCTTGCTGCCGAGTATCTCAGCAATCAAAAAGCGGGACGCCACTCTCAATTTCTGTCCGCCCTGTGCTCGTGCTGTGGTCTATGACAGATTTACAAACACTAAGGGTTTGAGCTGGCACAGTGGCAGTAGTTAGAGAAGCTGTTAGTAGAGGTAAGTGGCTGGGCAAGTACTCTGTGGAGTCATTGTGTGAAAAAAAAATACATTTTTTACAGCGATTTCTCCTTTACATAATTCAAAGTCACAAAGTAGCAACAAGCAGGTGGATTCTGAAATTACTCTGTGTTTTCCACAATGTGCAAAAGAGATGTGCAGAACACACCTGCAAGAGCACACACACACACACACACACACACACACACACACACACACACACACACACACACACACACACACACACACATAAACACTCATGTCAAAACTTGCCACTTTCATACAGCAGCGGCGGCGGCGGCAGTGTTTTGATGGCAGATAAGATTCTGCAGTAATGAAAGGCAGCCAGTGGACAAGAGAGGAGAGAGTTCAGAGTCCAGTCTTGTGACTGTTGAGCAGCCTCGGCATCATTTGCATTTGGCCATTTGAATGTCCTCTGGTTCTGTTGCAGGCTACTGCACATCACTCAACAGCAGCTCCCGGGACAATAGCAGATGGCAGAGTCAAATCAAGCCCCGTCCAACACAGAGGATCCTATGAATTGCAGCACGCAGGCCAGACCATTCAAACACTCATAAAGCACAACTTAAAAAGTTGGGCTACAAACGTGGAGGTTTTACGTTATCTGTGGCAACAGAGGACAAGCCGAACTACCTTGAACATCTTGTGTAAGTTCAGGTCAAATAATTAAGCAGCTTAAATGTTCAACAAAAGAGAGGCTAAGAGGCAGACCCCCAGACACAGGCAGTATTTAGAAGGCTTTAAAAAAGTTTGACTCTTCTCTGCGTTACTTTAGATTGGTAGCCTAAGTAGTTATGTGGAAGGCAGGAAATTAACTGAACCCTTTTTAAAAAGCCTCATATTCCAACATCCAAACAGGTTATTTCAGAAGCTGAACTGCAGCTTGTACTCTGCCCTCTTTCCGGTAAGTCTCAGAAAACTTCAGCCCCTGACCTTTTGCCTCCACACGGATCCAAAGTCCAATGAAGCAATAAGATATTTGTGAAAAAAAGGAACACCTACGTAAAGGCCACTCAGAAACTCTCGCCGAGAAAACATCCAAGCCTTTGAGATCTATCAAAACACATCTGACATGACGGCCGGGTGATGTGACAGGCTGCAACAGACCAACTTGAAATGATGGGTGTTTTAGTCTGCAGACTAGACTAATCTCTCTATCAGAGGACCCTGGGGAGGGTAGAGACATTCAGACATTTTCAGAGGTGGGGTAGGTAACAAACAAAAAAAAAAGAGTATTAATGGGAATCACCAACTAAGCCACACATCAAGTGCACACCTTTTTGAGTGCATTAAAAAAAGCATTACCTTGATCCTGACTGTGTAATAAAGTTGTTGTAGCAACACTGCTTTGCAACATTTTTAACAACCTTCGCCTACACTGTGTTTACTGTACATGCTCAGGGGTTAGTGTCACTGTCCCTGCTTTCCCCTGAGTGCTACTGCAGTGACACATGCAAAGTCTTGCTCAATGAATATTCAACCCAAACTCATTTTTACACCCAGTGGGCCCAGGTGGCTTTTAGCACCTTGAAACAATCACATATGAGTCAACGTATAAGACCCTTTACGCTCGGAGGGCCATTAAAAACCCCTTAAGACTTGCCAACTGTAATCTACACACCGGTGCAACTGTGAAGCGTTTCCCTTTGGTGGTGCTAAAACTACAAGATGGGGGGCTGTGCAGTGTTTTGACCCGACGTGATGAACTACATTAACTGTACTAACGTTACATTACAGCTGCCGCGCTCCAAGCAGAAGACGGTGCGCACTGTTATTAAATTAAGCCAACGGGTGACATTAGTCATTCGGTGTTCGTACTGCCAAGCAGCCTGACAGCCCAGAATACACTGTGAAAATTAGCAGGAGGGTTTCAAGAGATTCAGAGGCGGTGTGTGCGTGTATGGGGAGAAACATTTATAGAGAAATGCCTCTATCGTGGGCCTAATTTGAGTCACTGATCCGAAGGATACGGGCACTGGCTGCCGTCACTGAGCGGCTGTGCGGGTAAATGGAAAGCCACACGGGCAGGTTTATTCCCCGCTTCTTTATGCAGCGATTTCAGCGACACATCCATAAGCGCCCCTGGCCGCCGTGCGACACACAAACAGCGTTACCGATCCCCGACACAAACGCACACATACACACACAGAAAAAAAAGCGCACGATCTAACCACTGCCCGACATACGCGCACCCGTGTACGTTTCCACCCGCAGCAGTATAAGAATAACATTGTCCAGACGTAACAGTGCGCTCGCTTACAGATCCCCTTACCTGCGTTCGTCCACCCCACAGAGGCGCATCGTTATCATTCGACAGGAGGAGGCAAATCCAATGAAAACGGTCGCGACACTTTTGGCAGGAAGCAGAAATGGCGAGGCAGGCTTCGAGGGAGGAAAAAATCAAGTCCGAAATAATTTCTAAAAAGCCTCCTTTTGATTTGATTTGATTTTTTAATTCTACAAATGAATGCTGCGCCTGTGAGCGAGCCGAGGTGTGGAGCGCGTAGTCTGTGGAAATTGTTTATTCTCGGAGTCCCCTCGCTGTGGAGAAGTGAGCGCAGACAGCTACACTCCTCCTCCTCCGCCTGCCGCTGACACCACCCTTAAAGGAACAAGCCTTCACCGCTGCCCACATACTCCCTCTGCCAACATGGAAGCACTTTTTAACATTAGATGTACAGCAAATGGTCTTAACGCTGTTTTTTCCCCCATTTTAAACTAAGTAATATACACCGCTTACGGTTTGTCTCACACCAAGGGACATACAATGGAAATGCTTAATTAGCAGATTATTATTTAATCATTTCAATTATTAAGAATAAGCTGAGTTAAAATAACCTACCAAGGAGGGGATCTTTTTGGTTACGTCTCATTCTGTCTCACTTTAAAAAGGACTGTTCAAAAAGTTATGAATAAATGCTGATAAAACTTTGTAGGTGTGTGGAGTGGGGTCATGGTAATAATCCAAAATTTCCACCAACATCCACAAAGGTCTTCGAGGTCAAGTTAACGATTTGTTGGTTGAAAACTGAAAAAAAAAGTCTTATAACTTAGAAACTATGATTCTTACAAGTGTGGTGTGTATTAACATGTAAAGATTTAAAATATCTTATATGTCATATCATATCTCATTTGACCTCTGACCTCTCTGGGTCAATAGATTGATCTGAAAAGTACTAATAATTGTATTCAGACCTATTAAAAACTACATTTCTTACTGTCAGCGTTTGTATTGACCACACATAGGCAAAAAGGCAATGATATATGGAGATTCTACATATCACGTTAAGTTGGACCTCTGACCTCTTCTTCAACGTCAAACAAGGTCAGACTTTCATAAAATATCTGTTTTCTTTAAAACCTACTGCCCATGTTTGTCTGTCAACAACTAAGAAATTATACCGGTATATGGAGATTGTCAATATCACATTATAGCTTGCATCCAAAGTGTGTTCTATCTTTAAAGAAAGAACTGTCAAGAGAAGGAGAATGAGCTGCCTGGTGAGTTAGATACATACTGTACTATAATGTTATATAATAATCAATACCTGTTATCCATTACCTACTGCTACATAATGCTTACATACAAAATACAGCACTTTTCTCTTAAAAGTAAATACTGCCCACAGAGTGAGTGATCATTCTCAGATTCATTCTTTTTATTATTATTTTTGCTTCTTCTTCTTTTTTTAAATAAAAGCATGTCTATGTAAATAGAGAGTGTAATTCCTCAAATGGCCACTTGAGGCTGCCTCAGAAGACGGTCAAGTCCCAGTTTAACATCCTTAATAAAAATGGCTGACTTTACAACAAAAATCACCATTTTTACAGCCTGCGGATAGCTTTCACCATCGTAACTATTATGCTGGGTGATTTTTTTCATGACCTTTTTTTCTGTAGCTTAACATAAGGGTGCTTTCTTTAACAGGTGTGGCCTTTCTGCAAGGCACACAACATCTCAAGTCCATTGGTGCTTTTTATTAGCCTGTGACTTAGGACTAATAAGCACATATCTGTATGTGTTCTTGCACCCATACAAATGATGAATGCTGCTTGCTAGCCTTACTCTAGTCCAAGTATATTAACTGGATTCTACATATTGAACCCTCAGTGTTAGCATTTCAGCCATGACCATTTTGAAGTGACCCTTCTTGGACAAAGCAGTGGAGTGATATGTTATTAGCTAGCTCGCAAACTTGAGTTTTAAATTGGTGGTTGATGGTTTCAGACTACTACACTAGAATTTCAATAACAATAACTTTGTGGACGGCCAGTACCACGCATCACAACATATTATTTGCCTGGTAGTTCAATTAAAAAAGTTCCATAAGGCACCAACATGGTGCAAATATGGCTGAGAGGTCGAGTTGAATGTTTCACATAAGTGACGGTAACAGCTGCTTATCGTGGCACATCCCAGGGCCTAAACCTGCCATTTTAAACACATTATAATGTTTAAAAAAAAATGCTTTCTTAATGATACAGAAGTGGACATTTTAACATGGGAGTTGACCAATTCACTATTGGAGCCAGCCCCATGTGGTCACTAGAAGAACCGCAATTTTTGGCACTGGTTTCACTTTGGTAAATGGACTGGATCTTATATAGCGCTTTTCTACTCTTCTGAGCACTCAAAACTTGTGCATTCACTCAAGCACATTGTTCTAAGTACATTGGATGGATGCATCAGAGAGCAAACTGGGGTTAATATCTTGCCCAAGGATATTTGGCATGCAGACTAGGGGAAGCCAGGAATCGAACCACCAACCTTCTGACCAGTAGATGACCTGCTCTACCGCCTGAGCTACAGCCACCCCGCTTTGCAGCCCTCAGGGTTGCCACTTGTTCAGTATTTGGTATAAGCCTGTGTTACCTTCTTAAAGTCTTTGTTTTATTTAACTGTATTTGGATGTATAATTTGTAATCTAATTATTTAATACTATCGATATAATTTGTTCCAAAGGGTTAACAGAATCATGCTTGTAGTAACAAATGCTACATTAACATCAACCATAGTGGTAACAGTTGCAGTTTTAAATGTAACAGCAGCTGGATATGTAATAATCTCCAAAAGGTCCTTTAAAATGATAATAATAATAATTTTTTTTAAAACAACAGCAATTCTTAAAGAGGGACTTTACTGTACAAAAACTGGTTTATTTGTCACCATGAGTGCCACATTTTATTTTATTTTCTTATTTATTATTTTCTATTGTTATTCACAGAAGTGCATGTGTAATATGGCAATGCCAGAATTGACATGCAGGGAAAAAAGAGCTAAAAAAGAAAAAGGGGAAAAATTAGAAAGACTAGAACATAAAGCCTGGATGCTCATGCCTGGAGCACTTAGGTGGCCAGAGAAGTCTGGTTAAAATGTCTTGAGAGAAATTAGCATTACAGGAAATGTATGAGCCTGCAAGCAAGAACTTCAAGTCTCCTTACTTTGTCAAATTGCAATACTAAATTGGTGAATTTCGCCTTTAAGGAAGTGCTTTTAAATTCTCCTTAAAAATAGCATTGTAGTAAAAGATAATCCACGATTCACATTTTGCTTTGGAATAAAAATTGCTCTCCCCTTTAGATGAGTTAACAGAAACAGTCACAGGCAGACTACAGTAAATCTAAAAGACTAACATTTCTTAATCTAGCCATCTAAAGCAGGTTCAATTATAGCTCTTCAGTTGGATGGAGGATTAAGTAAGAAGTACCCTAAATAACCTTGTTGTGAGCATTCCTAAACAAATCATTAGGTTGCTCCATATGAGACTGCCATAGTGCTGGAGCTCTACTGTCTGCCTCACAGTGACCAAGTGGGGGAAAAGAACAACATAAATGGCATCAAAGCACCTTTGGATATATGAGACGTCTCCCAGGTGTGTCACTTGACTGTGAAGCAGGGAGCCATTCACCGAGCAGAAGATGCGCTCATGGAAACTTTTAAAATGTTTCTCGCTCGTCATTATTGTAAACATTGTAAATCTAAACCAATGATTACGCACCTTATGCTTCCAAATACCCCCCCCCCCTTTTCTTTGTGTCATCTTGTGCTAATCTGTGCTATCTGGTCCACTGGCCTGCAGTCTGTCAACTCAACATGGCCTTGAACAAAATGTCTCTAAGGACCTGGGGAACATCAGTGTTCTGGTGAATGAGAACACAACAACATAACCTACTTCCAGCCATTCCTGTCTCTATTTCCCCTTTTCAAATCCAGGATCGGGGGGGGGGCAGTGTGTGTTTGTGTGGGTGAGAATGTGAGCGAGACAGAAGGGTGTGTGTGTGCGTGTGTGTGTGTGTGTGTGTGTGTGTGGGAGGGGGGGGGGTTGCTCCTCCTCCTCCTCCCACTGCTGTGTTATCACATCATGCTGTGTTATTGGCCACTTGTATTCAGCCAGCTGGATACTGTGCCTTCTAACCTGCGGTAACCCCACTGTGGTGTTTAAACAGTAATTCAGTTCATTGCCAGTAGTATAAACAGAGGCGGCACTCAACATGTCAGTCAGGTAAATTGGATAGTTTTCTTTTACAAGGCTGTTGTTCACAATAGGTGTTACCTGCAATTTGCATTTTGAGTGTAGCAGCAGTTAAAAGTCTGAGCAAAGTCCTCGCCAAAGTGCTATTCATAAAAAGTTGATGTTGCTGCTGTTTTTATTGTTGCCGTCTGATTGCACCACAAGTGCTGCTCAGGATCGCGATTTTGTCGAGACGTCAAAAGTTGGACGAGCAGGCTCCGCTCGGCAATCTGGACGGTATCTTGTACCTTGTAACCTCTGAACTGGAGTGACCTTTCATCTTTGAACTCTGACCCCGAATGCCACATAAATGGAGATACAATATTCTCCCTTTCATTCCCTCCCCCTCCCCCTCCCCCTCCCCCTCCACGAACTTTGCCCCTGAAGCTTTTCACAGAAATGGGTTTCAGGAAACTCTGTCCTTTGACCCTGAATTACAGGGACAGATTGTGACTGACGAAGAAGAAAAAAAAGAAAAAAGTCTGAGGTCCTCATGTGAAAACAGTTTGTCTTGATGTTATTTATGTATGGGATTTAACACATTGTGTGGTGAAGGTTGGTTACAGATGCTCACGGGCTGGTTGCAGCTGTGTGAGGGAAATAGAAGTGCAGAAAATGGCAAAAGCTTTAAAAAAAGAGGAAGCTCACCAAGTGTTTGAAAGACATTAGGAAATGGAAGTTGCTGTTTTACAAGACTAACTTTATTGTCTCGTTAACGTGGTGTCTTCTTTAGTGTGTTCAAAAGTGCTGAGCTGTCATTTTGAAATACGATATTATTTAAATATTAAATTAAATATTAAATATTCAACAACTGTAGGAAGCAATAAAAGTTTTTCCGATTTCAGACTTTTTTTGTGCCATAACTTCGGCCTCTTCTAGAAGGTTGTTTCTCTAATTAAACAAGCAAATACTTGGCAGTAATTAGTGAAAAAGAAGATCTCATTGGCAAACATATATTCCAAAGTTTGCACTATGTTCTTAGTGTAAAATCCGGTAGTAGACGGTTCATCTGTGACTCATCTTTTGTCGGTCTGCATGAGTTCACTGAGTGGTCACTGGGGCAGATTATCATTCAAATC